AGGCCACCCCCAGATGTGCCAGTGTGACATGCATATTATTTCAAGCTGAAAAGCACAAGGCCCCAAAGACTCAGGCCCCTACCCCCTTCTCCTTGGCTCAGAATGACATATGTACCTTCTCCTCCCTGAGTGTCTTTGGAACCCAAGGCTATGGCTTCTCATGCATATGTGATTAAACTTCAGGTTTTTTTCTTCTGTTAATCTGTCTCATGTCTATTTGATTCTTAGGCCAGCTAGAAGAACCTTGATGTTCTTCCTCCCAAAAATCGTCAAAATATGTGCCTTAATATTCATGTACCAGAGTTCATATGTGTTATTAGTCAGAGGCCCTTAGGGATCCCTGGAACACCTCAAGAGGTAAAAACAAACAGTGGAAACAATGAAGAAGAGGGTCTACAAAAGCCAGACAGAAGGTTGTAAAAAGTCTAGAAGCATAAGACCACTGATACATAAGCAAATACTCACAAACAGCTGAATAGTTTCCAAGGTCATTATGCCTTATGGAAGAGGAATATAATCAATGGCCGAGATGGCTACTTAAGTTATTAAAAAGTTGAAAATATGCACAGAATAGTTCAAGAAGAAAGTGAAGTGCACAGTATACTTTAGAAAACTTTCTATCCAAAACTTTTCAATATAAAAGATAGTATTGTTGAGCTCTCAAGAAAGTATCCTTTCTGGAATTGCTTTTAAAGTATGAAGATATATGTTGGCCCTTACCTAATGAGTTCACCAAGGATACTAACCCATAAAACGGTCTCAAGCCCCACTTACATTGCAGCAGGAAAAGTGTAGGAAGCTACTGAGTGATATGAAGTTCCCTGGCAGCAGAAGGCAAAACTGTAAGAGATTGGTTTTAATCCTGTATGAAAAAGTAGGTTAAGTCTTCACCAAATTTTCCTTTTGAAAAAAATACATATGCATAGCCGGCCATGAAGGAAATTTCATAGTTAGTGATAAAAGATTTAGACCTAATCCCAATGCAAGAGCACTGATATATGCATCAAACAGAAGAACACAGAACTTCAGGGGGGACAAAACAGCAATGAGGAGGATGAAAAACCTTTGCATCTAAGGTTCTGATTGCTCTAACTGTTCAGTAACCACCTGCAGTTCAGGACAGACGCTGGCTCCGCTTAGGGCAGGCTGAAGGGGACTAGCCTTAGCGTCACTGCAGACACTTGGTGGATTCTCTCCAAGAGAAACAGCATGAACCCCAGGGGTAAATACTTGATAATTCTTCTAAAGAAAGTGACAAAGCTGCTGTCAGGGCCGCATATAGTTAGTGTGCCACTAGAGAAACTTAAGTCCTACCCAGGAGATTTTCTTTTTCCTCATTATATGCTGCTGGTCTGAACAGGTTTAGGCTCATTTTGCCTCTTCCCTTTCACAAAAGCCTGAATCAATGAGAGATAATTACACCAACTGAAGAAAGTGAAAATAAGAATTTAATATGCAGCCCTCAGGGAATCCTGAGTACTGGTGCGGTTCCCTAGTGCAAAGAATGACGGTGGAGAGTAATTCCTGCTTCTGTTGGATGATTAAAAGTTCAAACAGGGAACATAAAAGATAAATAGAAGGTACCAGAAGGAGAGTATTCTGTGCTTGGATTGAATTACTTTCCTTTGGCATATGAACTATGTTTTCCTGTGGAATTCACTTTGGTTAAGCAGTGAGCTGTGGCTGCCTGCTAGCCCTCTCTTAGTGGGGCCCCTGGATGTTCCGGAAGGAACGGGAAGGCATTGATGTGTTTGTGTTTCAGGCCTTGTAGCCTGGAGCCTGCCCTGATACTGCTGCGTTTGTGTTTCTTCCACATAATGTTGAACTGTATTATTTAAATACCTGACCTGTGAAATTGGAGGTCCTGGAGAATTTGGGAAGAAACAAAGCAGTCTGCAAAATTAGTAAAATGTGAAAAAGAGATAGAGCCAGTGTGGAGTAAGAGGGAAACAGACAATATGAAGAGTGGGCAGGGGAGGCAGTGAAGACTTTTGCCATTAAACCCCCAAACAACTTCAGAGCTTGATTGAGCTGAAGTTCTCCCTGCTGGGAATGAGTCCATAAAGGGTAGCTGACTTTTCAGACAATGATCTGAAGATATTGCCCCTGCTCCAAGTAGGATGTCAAAAAGGATTTCTACTATTGTGCAGGCATCTGGAAGCTAAGCTTACAGGCAGCCAAGCCACCATTGGCATTCTGATGATGTCCTGGTTGTTTTCTTTGACTGTGCAGATGTTACAAGCAGACCAGCAAGTAGTAGAGCACTGGAGCTGTAGTGAACTGCCTTCAGAGGAAATGTGTGGGGCCAGGGAATCGCTCCCTGATTCTCTGATTCTTCGGTACCACCTTCACACCAGAGTCCTCTCAAGAGATTCCTTTTAGAGCTCAAATTCTGATAATGGAACAAAAGGTTGATGGGTGAAAATTAATCTCATTTTATGCAAATGACCTTAGTTCTGACCTGTCACATCAGTTCGAAGACCTGCCCACTAAAGAAGTCAGGATGAGGGACTGGAAAGTTGTTCTGTGATTCATGACTCCAGCTTCAACTGACTTGTGGTGATGGATCCAGGCAGGGCACCCTTGAGAAAATGTGTTCTTGGGGGAGGAAGATGCCTGGACAGTACATTGAGATTTGCTGTGCTGTCCTGGGCTATTTGTGACTTAATGGGGATATTTATAGGTATATTACAAGTCCTTTGTTGTTTCAGAAACCAATGAAGTAATTTCCATAGGAAGTTAGAGGGGTCTGTGGCTATCAGCTGCCCCTATTTAATTTGTCATAAAGAGAAAACAATTTATCCATTTGGGAAAACTAGAAATGGAACAGTTTATCAGAAGGAAAACTTTGATAAGATTGAATGAAACGTTGTATAAAGATACTACCTAAAACAAAAATAGTATTTCTATGGATTAAAAAAATTTAGATTATTTAAACATACGTGATTTCTCTACCATGACCATTTAATGACAAGACACCATTTATACAGGACTTACCACACTGCCAGAGCCCTGCTAAATATTTTGCATGCTTTACCTCCTTCAGTCCTTACACTGATCCTGTATTTTACAGATAGGAAGAAGGAGGCTCCAAGGGATACAAATCAGTTATTACACAGAGGTTAGTAACTTGCCCAGATCATACAGCCAGGTAAAGAGGGAGACAGAGCTTGGATAAACAGGTGTGTTTTGATCTTCTGATAAATTCACTTCACTGTGTTTGAATATAAATTCACATATACATAAACACACGTACCAAATTTATTTATTCATCCCTTCTACAGATACTTATTAGAAACATACCTTTTGCCAAACCCATGCTAAGCTCAGAAGACCTACAGGTGAAAACATAGGCTCTCTCTTCTTAATGAGTTTATGGCAGAGCAAAAGAAAAACAGTGTTTAAAACACAGTATGTGCAAAAATGAAAGTACAAGGCGACAAAAGAAGAGGTGGGGCCTTATTCTCCAAACACAGCATTAGAAGACTTCCCTGCTTCTGTCAAATAACCAAATATTTTTCCAAACTGCTGATCTCAATTTAAATTAAAGATAACAGCAAAGGAGCTGAGGTTGTTTACTTGGTTTTAGGAAAACTCCTATCTGGATTTCTGCAAAGAGCACCGGAAAGGGTGTATTTCTAGACCAGGGAAATTTCCTTCTCCCAAATATAGAACCTCTAGGAAACTGTTCTTAATTTAGAAACCAACTTCAAACTTTGGTGCTTGCAGAGTGGGTGGGTTGAGGTAAAGCATAAGCATGAATCTGCTATATATATTTGATTTTCTTCTTTCCATTTCCTTGACAATCCTAGAATTAGGTACAAAAAGACTTGCAAACAATACTTTTTAATTGTTTTCACACAATAAACTGCATGTTTCCTTGGTTGACACAACATGAGTTTCTCCTCAAAATTAAAGTTTTAAATAATATCAGAAATGGCTTTCAAAAGCTATAAGTACTCATTCTGTGAAAGCTCTGTTGAACAGTCTGCACTAACCAAATGTTAGTGATTGTTCTCTGGCTGAAAAGGGAAATGTCATATAAACTGAAATGTGAGAAAAATGATAAAAGTAAACAGCATGTTGGAAGGGTGCTTCATCGTTAACCTTTACTAAAATGTACACCAGTAAGGGTTGCATATTTTATACTAGGTGTTCAGATAGCTCAGTCAATCCTCACAACAGTCTTAGGAAGTAAGCCAGGTAAGTTTTTCTTCCCTGACTTCCAGGGAAGGAAGTTAAGTCAATAATACTGTCATGCCCTCCCTCCAGATCAGCCAGTTAAAAAAGATCAGAAAATGAACCTGGTAATACCTGAATCTAAGTTCAGTGCTCTTCACTATGTGGTGTCAAAATTATAACTAGAAATACACAGCAAGCTCCCTGACATGAAAATAGAAATCACTTCTAATGATGTTAATGGAGTAATGTATAAGGGAAGCATTTATTTCTTGTTCATTTAATAAATATTTATTGAAGCCAAGCCATTATGTTAGGAGGCAATAATGGAACCTGAAGGTAAGCAGTGCGGTACCTCTCCTTTGACCAGGAAGATCTATGTGTGTGTACGTATGCATACATGAAAATATGTCTTCTCTAAATACAGTTTGAAATGTAGGCTGTAATCAAAATTATGAAATAAGTACACCTCCCCTCCTTGAGATGTTTCAGGCAGCTGAAGATAGACCGGATGAACATACACAGATAAAAGATTTATGGAAGCTGATTATACTTAAGCTTACAAGGCCACTAATTTATTGGCTTAAAATAAGCTTTATGTCATTGCTACCTTTAGATTCACTAGGTCTGGTGGTCAAGGTCGATGTATTACAATTTCTAAACTGTGTTCAGATACCACACACCAGATTTAGCCAATATTGACACATCCCAATATTTGCTATCAAGATTGAGCTCATAATTAAGCTGCTGCATTTGGGACTTTATAATGAAACTCTTGATGGAGTTTAGACTGGAAAATTTGACATTTTTTTTATTTGCAGACATGAGCTGTGGTATCAAAATGCTAAGTATTCAGAGACTGCTGCAGAACGAAATACTGTCCTTACATGTCAGACCCTTGAGAGTGACAGGTCCGACTTCAGGCTGTGGATGGAGGCTGCTCTTACATACAGGTCTGTAAACCTCTCTATGTTTGTACCTCTCTCACCCTATGTTTCCTATGCATCCTTGTTCCTAGTCAGAGATTTTGTCCTGTCCTATTCCTCAGAAACATACAGCATTTTGAATATCTATTTCAATGCCTCTCAAATATAAAGCTCTCTCCTTCCAAAAACATAGTTTTCCCCTTGAATTCATGTTCCTTTGTGGAGTTCAGTCATACCCATCAACTCATCGGTCAGAATAAAAACTATGACTTGGAATACATGCCCTTAGGTAAAATAATAATTTTGTGAAATTGCTTTTTATTATTCTTAGTTTAACAGTTCTTAATTCTCTCCGTGGCTTTTAAAAAACTCATGCATTTCTAATTCTTTAAGTCATAGACAGGTAAAATTCTGGTAGTCAGTGAGCCATTGCCATTAATTACTTTTAAAATCATCAGAATATTTAATGCAGAATAAAAGATTAAAAGGTTATTTATTTTTTGTCACCCCCTCTGACTTCAGCCTCATTGTAACCCTGATCCGTAGGTGAACAACTTATGTTCATATGATCTATGAAACATTAAGACTGTGGTTCAGTCTAAGAGTGATGTCATTTCCTCCACACCACTTGCAAAGTTTTGTTTTTAAGGAGCCATTGTTGTATTATGAATTATATTGTTTCACAAATGGTCCCATTGTCCTAGGCATGGACTCCATATCTGTTAGTAAGACTGAGGAGGAGGGCAAGGCCTGAGGTCATTTATTCTCATGGTATAACTCTGGAGAGAAACTGTCCGGAGCCCATGATTACAAAGGATAAGCAATTGATTCTCTAACTAGTACTGGATGGAGAATATATAAATTTTTAAAATACAAGAAGTCTATAAAGCTTATCCTGTATACTCTCAGGAGGATGTTAAGATGGAATAGAGTTTTGCCTTGTTATGCTCTAATAAGGCAAAGGTCAAAATAGGCTTACAATCTCTCCAGATAATTGAATAAAGATCGTATTATCTTGGCAAATATATTTGAATAGCTAGCACTGACTCCCAGATTTTCAAACTAAAAAATATATATCATTTTGAAATTAAAATACATTTGAGTCATTATACCAAAGGACAATTTTGTACTTACAGCTTTGGGGACTTTTATGTCCCCAAATTATGACCTGAGCATAGACCTTTGCCTTGGAGAAGCCCCTCAATTATGTGCTGACCCAGATGTGGGAATTTGATTAAGCAGAGATTCAGGAAAGGGGAGGCTGTGATAACAAGGTAAAGGAAACTAAACAGATGTAAGTCAGTCACTGGCCCTTTGTTCCCCCTCAAAGGGTGCAGATAAACTCTTAATACACATTTCCTTGAGATGTCTTACAGGAACCTAGAACCCCCATCAGGTGGGCCATCTGTTGCCCATAAGCATGGTGACCCCAGACTATTGGAGCCAGAAAACTTATAACTAAGACTCCTGAAATAATCTGTTAACTCATCACTGGCCAACCCAAGGAGTGTCCATGAGCTGGTCACACTCCCTGAGACCCTTACTCATGATTTTGCTCTTAAAAACCCTGTCTAGTAGCCCAATGGGGAGTTCAGAACTTTGTGTGTTAGCTGCCTGATCTCCTTGCTTGGTACCTTGCAATAAACCCACCCACTTTCTTTGGTTACAGCCCAGTGTCAGTGTTTGGCTCACTGCACACTGGGCCAGTGGACCCTGGTTTGGCTGGTTCAATAGCAATTACTTACTTAGGAAAAACTCGGACAGAATTACTGACTCAACACTGGACTTCCTTTGGGTCTCCTTCATGCTGTTCTTCCCATCAGAGGGCCAGTTATAGTGGGTAAGACACGTGTTTCCTGACACTTCCATTAAATTGGTTTCTGCCTCAGCCTAAGCATGTGACACCTCATGGAAGGAACTCCACTTCTTAAGCAGCATGGAATCTTTTGAAAAAGGAAATTATATACAGTCTGTGAAGAAAGAAAAGAACTGCAGGAGGTTTCAAACCAGCCAGGCAGGGCCCTTGCCCCATTCTGCATTAGCTGCTGCATTGTTTGAGAGGCCCTTGTTCTCTTCTCCCAGTCTCTGCAGACTGACACCTGCAGGGGAGGGATGACTCTCCTCCATCTTATTACTCATGTAGGCATATCAATTACTAAAGCCTGCTGAGGGCAGGCCAGGCCTAATGCCCACAAACAAGATGATAAGCCACATTAACCCAAAATGGTTGAACTGCTAGGAAAGAACTCACTTTATCTATTTAGGTTGCTCTGGAACAACAATGGAGCCATCATATTTCAAAAATGACGTGTTACTTATTCTCATTTTCATTGTGGAATGTTTTCTTGCAGTGTGAATTCATTGGTTGGATTTTCACCTTCATCGTACAAGAGCCACAGAAAAACACCTTGATAATCTAGCTCAGCAACAAATGCTCCCAGAATTTTCTTCTCCAGCTACGACTTCTCTGGAGATCTCTGGATTCTGCTCTCAGAAGCACAATATGCAGCTGGTCTTCTACCTTTGAACTGGTTATGACTGTATTCACAGTTGTTTTCTCATAGGATGCTCACATAGGCAGAGCAGGAGCTAAATTGGGCTCCAGTAGGGTTTCCTCATCCTGAGCCCATTTTTTGTGCACACTGCATTCATAAATAGCTTGTGAGGCTTCGGGCTTCTGAGGTCACCGTGCTTCACACAATTGTTCTCTGCAGGGCTACGTGAAAGACAGTGGCTGGGCTGAGGCCTGGAGTTCCTGGAAGCTGGGTTTCTCAGCATTGAAGGGCTATCTCTTCTCAAACAAAAGCACAGCCAGGCTGTAGAGGGTGACCTCGGTCATTGTTCTTGGGGCCTGTGACTTCACAAGTGGAGGTTACTCCTGAAAGTAACCAACCTCTAGGCTGATACAATCTTACTCTCAGGACACTATGTAAATAGCAAACTGATATCTGTAATGGTATAAATGCTTTGTAAACTCTCCTCTGTAAAAATAAATGCAAATGAAAGTATTATCTGAATACTTTGCCCTCCCGCTTCCTGGATACTCCTCAAGCTTAATCCTAACAGACATCGCAGAGCGTGGGTAAATGAGATGTAGTGATGATCAGCTGTTAGTCGATAAGAGGAATACGTTTTGTAGGTGTGTGAAGAAGGTGAGAAAATAGTCTAATGTCTGGAAGTTGGATGAGGAGGTCTGAGAAGGTAGAATGGAGGAAAACAAGAAGGGTATTGGGAGTTTCTTATGTGTTGACATGAATACATTATGTTGCCATGCAGATCTAGGAGAGAGCATAGCAGCCACTAAGAGATCACAGCTCAGTCTTTGCTGTCACAATGGAACATTTTTGTCAATTGACTTCTCTTACTCTGAATGATCTACTACGATAAATATAAAATCCACCAAAATTTCCTGAAACACTGAGATAATTTTCCATTTATTTCCATGGAAGCTGTAAGGTAGAGAGAGAGATACATACATACCTTTGCTTTTATAGTTAAAACTGTATAGATAAATTCATTCATTCATTCATTCACTTTTTCATGCATTCACTTCTCTCTAGGGCTTAGTAATTTATAGCAACCTGCAAGCTTTAGGGTAGGTCTTTTAAGAAGGAGCAGACAGGTGGAGGAAGCTGGGGATTTGATAAACAGTCACTTAAAAAATGAGTTCAGTTATATCTTGCACTTGTTTTTCTCTCTAAAGAAGGACATAAAGTCTTGGCCGGCTGTGAAGTTCTTAAATAATTGTCATTAACCATTTTAACGGTGTGATTTAAGGTGATAGAATGAACTACTCCATATTCAATATGCAGATAAGGAATAGAATATTACCATTATTGTTCTGCTCCGTTCCTCTCTCTGTGTTTCCCCCCCTTTTGCGGAGACATCCAATATCATTACTTCTAAATTTATTTGAAGTCAAACCACTAAATAAGCAGTTTGGTACCCTAACCAATATACTAAATGTGACTTTTTTACAGTTTCTGATGAAGGCAGGAATATTACACATCTTAGTTGCAAATATAGTTGAATATACCCTTACCTGCCAAACATAAGAAATGTTTGAGAATGTAATGTAATTCAAAACAATGCTTTTAATAATTTTATGACTACTCTTAGGAATATACACAGGAAAATAAAAGTACCTCTATAGTTGTTTAAATTAGAGTCATTCTTTTCATTTGAAAATCATTCTATTGACTTTTGATTTTTTTTTTTTAAGCATTTAGGTCACATAGGATTATATTGGATCTGCCATGTTTGCATTGGCCCTACCTATATTTACAGAAAACCATTCCTTTTCTTTTACAGTTAATACTGTTATATTTCTCCCCTGGGCCACATTCATGGGTATAGAACATAGACACATAAGCATATATATTTAGAATAAATAGCCTCAGAGGTAATAATATCCTGAAGACCTCAAAAACCACCTGTCAACTCATTTAAATCCATATTAACTGATTATTTGACTAAATGTACCTATGATTGGATTAAACCGACTAATCAATAATCAAATGGACCAACTAAAGAGCTTCTTGCCCTGGTGAAATAGAAAGTGATAAAAAGGAAAATGAAATTGGTTACAGTGTATTTTTAATTAAGCCAACCCTAACTTCTTTTTGGATTGGTGTTTATTTCCAAAGCTAAACTAAAGAGCCCTCTATGTTACACAATCTATAAAAACCGTGCTACCATCTGGCTTTCAGTAACATTCCTTAGTCATGAACACGTCTTGAAATTTGGGATCAGTCTTGGGGTAGTTCATCTGGAGGCGTTAACACAAGCCAGGGAATCTGGACAGTCATTTGAGGTGGGGCATACTAAAGAGTACAATTTTATTTTAAAGAGAGTGCAATTAACTTCTCTGTATACCCAAGTTCCTGGTCTTAGATCAGGTGTAGATGGCTCCTAACATATTCCTATAAATCAAAGAATTTATAACCCTCAGTTCTACAATTCCTATTTTGGGGCCAAGAAATTACTGTAGACCTAGCTATCCAACTTCATCACAGAAACTTCCCCCTTCCCTATCAGGATTTGTCCAGGAGACTGAGCACAGATATTTCCTAAGAATCCCTTGGAATCCTGCTAAGATACTCCAGCACAAATAGTTTAAGTTGCAATACAAGGTTGAGAAACTGATAAGAGAAAACACAGAGAGTCAGTCAGGCTTTATTCTGCTATGCTTAAAAAAAATCGTACCTATCTAGATATATTTCTCATCAGAGCTCACCACACTTTCATATATCTCAACAATTCAGAAGCACCATGAGTACTTGAAATGTCTTAAGACCTGAAACTGAATTATCTGTTTTGCTTTAAATTCACTGTAATTAGAATGAGGATTAAAAATATAGTAAAACATTAAAATTCTCTTACTTTTCAGTAGGCTAGAGTTTATTGTTCTATGATAATTTACTGTAAAATAACTAATCTACCACAGTTGGTAAAACCATACTAGATGTTGGCTGGTTTTGTTGACAGTAATTGGATATGCTCAAGAAGAAATCTTACACCAATCTGGAAGACCGAGGAGAATAAAGCAACTGGAATCTGAGGGAGACGGAAGACATTACCCACCTCTATTATTTGGGAATGAGGTAGAAGGAGAGAAAGAAAAAAAAGTAAACCGTGGCTTGTTTATCCATACAGGGTTACAGATTCATTTTTAAAGATCTCTGAAGAGATACAGAGAAATGTTTCCTTATTAACAACCTCTCACTATCCTTTCAGGCTGGAAGCATTTCCTTTAAGCTAATACAAGGCCCTTCTATAATGTAAAGCCTTCCTGTCTCCAGGGAAATGGTAAAAACTGCCCATTAGCCTGTGTGCACACATGATTCACATAATTCCAGCCTAAAGTTAATGAAAAACTCAACTCTTTCTTATCCATGCTAATAAATACCTCTTGATATTTGCTGACTTCTCAAAATGGTTATCCTACATTCTATATCTTGGAAGGTAGGATTTTAGAGACTAAGTAAATGAAAGCCCTATGACTTAGAAAAAACACCTTGGATGATTTTGTCATTTGTCTCAGGCCATCTAGATAGCCCAAGACAAAGCATGAAGGAGACTGTCTCTCTTTCTTCCCTGTTAATTCCCTTTCCTTAAATAAAGCTGTCTCTCTCGTCTTTGAGGGGGCCACAGAGATGATCCTTTTTCTGTCCTTTGTGCTTTTGCAGTCCTATGAAATATCAGAGATAATCAAATCAGCCATGCTATGACACAAACCAGATGTTAAACACACTAAAACTTCTAGATGATTTTTCAATCTTCTATATTTGGTGTTAGAGATATAACCCAATTCCACTTATTTTACTTATTTCTTTGGGCCTTTATTTTTAAAACTCAGTAAAGTATTATAATATTCTCTATTTGTTCTTTCTATAGAATGATTTTTTAAAGTTAAAAAATCTGGTTAAAGTTTGTCCACTGCTTCAATTTTAGTTGCCAGATCTCGTAATTCATTTTTAACTTGAGCTAACTTGCTACTATATATAGTACATAAGCGCCACTTTAAAAGTGACCCTAGATTTTTAAAATAAAATGACTTCTTCAGGCTTAAACCAGGACAACCAACACAGGATAGATATGAGATGAGCCTCAGCAGAAGTCACCTTATGGTTTGCATGCATCGCCTAGATATTTCTTGAAAATCCAGGTTTTCAGGTCCCCAAGTCAGAGATGATTTCTGCTGTAGAACCCAAGACTCTCCAGTTTTTAATGAGCACCTCAAATGACTATGATGCTGATATTTTAAGTAATACAATTTGAACAACACTAAAGCAAGGAAAAGGATGTCCCATTAGGCAAAGCAGGAAGAGTAGTTCCCAGAAATCTAACCAAGACTGATGTAAGTGTAAGAAGCCATAGCCTGAACAATGATGTTAACACACCCGGGAAGAAAATTGTAAGGATGCAAAGGTAGGGGCTTTGCATGGGGCCTGTAGGGAGGGAAACCAAAGCACAGGAATTTGTGACCCCCCCTAGTGTTCAGGGAGAGAATATCCTGACATCTGACTTGGGCAGTCATGATTTCATGGTGGTTATTTTCCTGCGGGGCAGACATACACATCAAGTTCTCCATGGCTTACTGGCAGTACCCAGTAAGTAAATTAGTCTACTAGACAAACTTCTGATAACTTGGCAACCTGCTATAACTTTTCAAGGGAGAAAAAGCCAACACGAACACCTTAACAGTTTTTAAATAATACATTGACGTTTTTACACACTGGGGTCTTGTAAATATGGTTTATATGGGTCCTTTCCAAGTCTGATTAGCATTGAATAAAGTACCAACCAAGTTTTTGGACCTTCAGAAGTAGACTGAACACGGGGGTGATCTTGTCAATTACTCCCCTCCTACACAGACCTGACACGAGGTGGGGTAGGTTGGGGAATGAATGTCCCCTGTGTGAAGGACAGCTCCATCACTCACTAGGCTTTGCATAACTAAGTCAACCTCTTTTGTAAATGGACAAACACCAAGTGCAAAAGGTGGTAGAAATAACCAAAGAAGCTAATGTATATAAAATTCTTTACATGGTAGCTTTTAATTTCCAATAAAATTTTACCTAATATTGGCAAGCTGTTTAACTCTTTTCAAGGGAGAAAAAGCCAACACAAACATCTTAGTCTATTTAACAGTTTTTAAATAATACATTGGTATTTTTACATATTGGTGTCTTGTGAATGTAGT